TGACCCAAGTAGTTTTTGACACTCTTTCGAATGCCGCTTACCGCGTGTTGCTACGTGGCCTAGTAGCCAAGTTATAGGGGTCGGGAGGGGGGTTCAAACCTCAGCCCGGCGCCGGTTAAGGGAAGGCACTATCATTTTGGAGGCGCTGCAGATATGCTAAGGGACGACAGCATCATTTTGAGGCGCGCCACCAACTTTTTAGGGCACTTAAACCACTTTGAGGGGCACCACCGACACTGTGAGAAGCGCAGTTATCTCTTTGAGCCTTGGGGGTGGCACCATTATATTTAAGGGCGCCATGTGCGCAGTAATGTGGGGCAAAATGACAATGAGGAGCGCCTCCGATACTTAGAAGAGACGCAACATTACTCGGGGGGGGGGGGGGCAACATCACTTTTATTTTGAGGACGCCACCCACCCCATTGTAAGGGGCGGCACTGTAACTTTAAGGACCGCCGCGGATACTTTAAGGGGCGGCTCCATCATATGGAGGGGCGCTACAGATCGTTAATGGGTGGCAATAGGTATGATATTTAGGGACTCCGATACTTCGAAGGGCGTCACCGTTTGTTTGAGGGTGACATCATCACTTTGAGGGGCACCACCGATACTGTTCGGTGCGCCACCGACGCTATAAGGGGCCCGCGCCACCGACACTGCCAGGAGCACAGTCATCACTTTGACCGGCGCTTCTATGACATTTAAGGGCGCCGTGAGCACATTGGGGGGGGGGGGGCACCATGACGTTGAGGGACGTTACGGAAGGTTTGAGGGGCGGCAACATGACATTGAGGAGCGCCTCCGACACTTCGAGGGACACCAGCATTTCTTTGAGAGGCGGCACCTTGACTTTTGAGGAGACACCACCGACACTGTAAGGGGCGGCACCATCACTTTGAGGGGCGCCACGGATGGTTTGAGAAGCGGCACCATTATGTATATGGAGGGACGCTACAGAAAGTTAGAGGGCGGCAACATTGTATTGATGAGTTCCTCCAAAACTTTGAAGGGCGCCACTGACACTGTAAGGGGCGGCACCAGCACTTTTAGGGGCGGCAGCATCATTTTGAAGGCCGCCACCGACTCGTTGACGGGAGGCACCATCACATTTAGGGTCGTCACTGGCACTTTGAGGGAGGCACCATCACATTGAGGGGCGCCACCGATGCTGAAAGGGGCGGCATCATCTTCTTGAGGGGCGGCATCATCTGCTTGAGGGGCAGCTCCATCACAATGAGGGGCGATGTGGATACCTAGAGGGGCGGCACCATTATATTGGTGGGTTCCTCTGACACTCCGAAGAGCGTCACTGGCACTATGAGAGGCGGCACTAACACTTTAAGGGGCGGCAGCATCATTTTGAGGCGCGCCACCGACTCGTTGGCGGGCAGCACCATCACATTCAGGGGCGGCATCATCTTCTTGAGGGGCGGCATCGTCTGCTTGAGGGGCGGCTCCATCACAATGAGGGGCTATGTGGATACCTAGAGGGGCGGCACCATTATATTGGTGGGTTCCTCCGACACTTCGAAAGGCGTCACTGACACTATAAGGGGCGGCGCCAACGCTTTAAGGGGCGGCAGCATCATTTTGAGGGGCGCCACCGACTCGTTGGCGGGCAGCACCATCACATTCAGGGGCGCCACCGGCACTTTGAGGGCGGCACCATCTTATTGAGGGGCGCCACCGATACTGAAAGAGGCGGCATCATCTTCTTGAGGGGCGGTATCATCACATTGCGGGGCTCCACAGATGCTTAGAACAGTAGCGGCGGAACACCTTCAGTTAAGAGGGGGCACTGCCGACTTTTGGTCCCATTCTTTCCATGCAACGCCCATAGGGCTAATGTTGAAATGTCAAAATCAAAGGGGGGCACGGTGCCCCGGTGCCCTCCCCGTTCCGCCGCCTATGGCTTAGAAGGGCGGCACCATTAGGTACATTGAGTGGGACCACTAACAGATTTAGGGGCGGCACTGTCACATTGAGTTGCGGGATCATCACTTTCTATGGACGGCTGCTTCACTTTAAGAGGCGGCATTATCATTTCGGAGGGCAGCAGCCTCACTATGAATGACGGCACCTAGCCTGCATGTGCGTGCTGCATCCTAGAGGGGGCGGCAACTGGGTCGGCAAACGGCTGTCACTGGGTCGGCATTCTCCGTGACTGGGTCGGCAATTGCCGACCCAGTTAACATGTTAAAATACGCCCTGATATTTTTTGTAATACGAAAATGACAAAATGCACTAAAACATTGCGATTAAAATTAAGATTGTGAGCATTTTTATCGGAATTCTGTTTTGCATGTTCAAACATTTTCGACAAATCGTACCCATAAATAGCACCAGACATCATGTAGATCCCCTCCGTTACACTGCTGTCAATGTGTGCGAACAATTCGCGCATTCCGTCGGTCACAGTCCGTTGACATACAGCGGCCTTCCTGTCGCTCCATGCCTGCGGGCTGACACACGATCGGAATTCGGACGGCACATTGTCAGGTGCCGGTCGGCCAGTCAGCCAACCGCGCTCCTCCGATCGGTCACCTGCCCCCCCCCCCACCCCCGTGAGGGAGGGGGAGGGGAGGGAGGACAGTGCTCCCGGCACAATCACAGGGTCAGCGCCGGTGTGGGAACCGACCCCCTCCCCGCCCGAGGCAGCGCTCCGAGGCAGGGGTGGGGTCATCTGCCCCGGGCGGAGCCACCGAACCGTGCAGCCCTCACAGGCCACAAGCGAGTCACCGCGCAGAGGACATGCAAACTGCACAGAGCCGGAACTGAATGACTGGACGGCCGACATTTCGAGAGCACCGAAACCGTGGGAGAGGAATTCTAATGCGTAGTCATGTGGTTGTGACTTATTCAATCAGAGCAAGTCCAGATTTATGCGCACTGTTCAATTTCAATGTTCAGATTGCGTTGTTCATGCATCGCTTACATGAAAGCTTTGTTCGAACTCCGAGCAAAATAGTTGTACGAAATAATTCGGGAAAAATAATAAGACGAAAGAACATTGTCCGACACTCCAAACTGATTTCTTTTTTACTTCTTTGTCGAATTTAAAATGCGTAAATCTGCAGTTCTAAGTTGGCGAAACATATCGAATATACCGAATTAGTAGGTATTTATTTATCCATGCCTGTTGTGCATCAATCATGCGCACAGTATGCATGCATGTATCTATTCGGTGTATGTTTGTATGCATGTGCGTCGACAGGAGCAGCTGTGTGCACTGAAGCAGCACCCAGCCACAGCCCGTGTCGGCCCGTCCCCGGGGGTCGAGCTCATCCCGAGGTCAGGTGCTCCCCTCCGGGCTCCGCTCCCCCTACCTCCCCCCTCCGCGGCGAACTTGTGGAAGTTGGCAGTTTGGCTGTCATTACGGCGCACCTATCGAGCGACAGCGGCGGGTGGCGCACCAGTGCCTAATTGCCAGTCCACTGCTGCGCGAGCATCCACTCAAATAACCATCGCGGCGCCGCGCCGGCCCTAATTTGGCTCTGGTATCAATATTGTAACGCGATATGGTGTCGGTTCAAGGGCGGTGACTGGTCGCTAGCGGGGGGGGGGGGGGGACGACAGAGGAAGTTATGTAGGGTCATATTTAATAAAGCGGATAAGTCAATGTCCGCTGCGTTTAGGCGGACACATGAACAAAATTATTTGATATAAAGACATAAAGACATAAATTTGCAGTACAACAAAGAGCCACTGGGGCCCATACTTGGTTGCACATTTGCACAGTCTGTACTCTGTCAAAATGCGTGCCACCTTTCCGCTTTTCTCCCTAACTTATGTGTGTGAAGTTGGCACAAAACAGCGACACATTGCAGGCATAAAGCATACCTACACCACATTACACAACATTTTGCCACTTCATCACTTCATCAATCATTTCGTCACAACTCTTCCCTGCCCCCCCCCCCCCCCGGCCACGCACTATCATCGCCAAATGTCTCACAAGTCCACTGCCATGCAAGGCATCTCCAAACAATTCGCATGTAAGCTCAACGGAACAGCATCAAACACCCGCAACAACATTCTGCAGACATATTGCAACCTAATACCAGGCATAATTTTTGCTATGAATTCACGCACATCTTACATTGATCACATGCACACATCAGTTGGCTAGTCCCACCTATATCTGTATACTATATCCCGCTCTGTAAAGTATTTGTCGAGGCTATGTTTAAATGTTTCGAGGGAGGTTGCACTTATTACACTAGTTGGTAAACTGTTCCAATGACCTACCACTCTTCTACTGAAAAACGACTGCCTTAACCCATTAGCGCTCAGTGTCCTCATATGAGGACACCCGAAACAGCCAGACGTGGCGCACACCGGGTATATGTTAGACGGCTTAGAACATCGCCAACGTGTCGAGAAGGTCTTTGTCGACCACCTGGGTCCCGTTATGTTTGTTTCCCTTCACCCTCTTGTATTTGATAAGCGCTTAAATTTAGCGATTTTCAGACATTGAGACCCTCGTCGGCTTATTTGGCTTCCATTCAACTGTGAACATAGTTACGTCCAAATTGACTCCACTCATTGCTCAACGGATTATGTTATACACATATAATCGTATTCCCATCGGCCATTTCTAGAATTCTGACGATCTGGAGAGCGCCAAATTTAGATGTCATCAAATGAGGACACTGGGCGGAACGGGGTAGCGGCGGGCCGGCCGGCCGCCGCGGCCGCCGAGGTGTGGGAGGGCGGGGCGGCGGTAAGGGGACCGCCGGGAATGCGAGGGGGTGACGCTATGGGGAGACCCCTGGGGTGTTCAGGGTGGGGTGGCAGTGAGGGGAGACTGGGAGGGGGGCGGAAGTGAGCCCTGAGACGCTAGCGTCAGTTTCCACCCGTGTGTTGGACTGCGAGCTGAGTGTGTGCGACCTTGGAGATAAGATACGCTTTTACATACGTTTTATTTTACGCGGGAGTGTGGTCGATCTGCAATCGCCATGCGTCGTGAAAAAGCGATTACCGTAAAAGAGGCCTTGGAGATGCTTGAGAGAGATGATTTCTCGGACAGTGACAGTGAAGTAGTGGATATCGTGGCGCTGCCACCGCCTACTGTTGATGAGCTGACAGATGAAGAGGAGGAAGCTGACGACAACGCTGGCCAAGATGCCATTCCTCAAGACGTACCTGGCTTTGTGGAGGCGCACATCCGCTCGAAAGAAACATTGCCAGAACCTGAGTCAAGCACAGGCGAGAGTTCAGGCTCCGGACCTGCTAAGAGGCGTAAAGTTTCATCATCTCAACCAAAGTGGCGTAAGAAGCAGCCTGAGTACACCAAGCTTCCAGAGAAAACTGATGGTGCCAATCGACGCCTGCAGGCGCTGAAAGAGAAGCTGGAAGGGGCTTCTCCAGTACAGCTTTTTGAAGAGATGTTTTCGTCTGAGATGTATGAACATATTATCAAGGAGACTCTCAGGTACGCGTCTGCCACCAAAAATGATCCCCTGTTTAGTATGACTACCGCTGAACTGAAAACTTTTATCGGCATCCTAATTCTGTCAGGATATCACCAGCTACCCAGTGAGCGACACTATTGGTCTCTAGAAGACGACCTGGGTGTCGAGAGTGTCCGCAGAGCTATGACCCGGAGCCGATATCTAAAGATAAAGGCATATTTGCATTTCCAAAACAACGAGACCAGTTCGACACACCAAAACGACCGCGGCTTCAAGATTCGCCCTCTGATGGACATGCTCAATGAGAGCTTCAGGAAATTCGGCGTGTTCAGAGAAGAACTGTCAGTGGACGAGATGCTCGTCCGCTACTTCGGACACCATCCTCTGAAACAGTTTATCCGGGGAAAACCGATCCGCTTCGGGTATAAGATGTGGTCCCTGTGTGCCAGCGACGGCTACTGCTACAAGTTCCAGCTATACTGTGGAAAGGAGACGGGGCCGAAGCAGGACTTGCCGCTGGGTACCCGTGTGGTGACAGAGATGCTGGAGGCTGTAGACATCCCCACAGACCACAGTGTCTACTTTGACAACCTGTTCACCTCCCGTCAGCTGATGGTCACTCTGGCAGAGGAGGGCTACCGTGCGACTGGCACCGTCCAAGAGAGACGGACGAACCAGTGCCCTCTCCCGGACTGTAAGACTATGGCCAAGACGGCCCGCGGGACATTTGAGACCCGGTTTGACACCGCCGAGGAGATCACCGTGACGAGGTGGAATGACAATCGCTGCGTGACCATGATGTCAAACTTTGACAGTGACCAGCCTCTAGCCCGGGTCAAAAGATGGGACCGGTCGCAGCGCGCCCACAAATATGTGGAACAGCCGAGGATGGTGAACAATTACAACAAGTTCATGGGTGGTGTGGACGCGCACGACTGGCTATGCGGAAAATACAGCACCAGTATCCGCGGCAAAAAGTGGTATTGGTGCTTATTCACCCGCTTGATCGACATGTCCATCGTAAACGCCTGGATCCTACATCGCCATATCTCGGAGGGTCCTCTCAGTCTCCTTGACTTCCGGAGGCATGTCGCAGTGGCCTACCTGAAGCTGCTTGGCCAGAGGGACCTCCGAGTGCTCCCAGCAGCAGCTGTAATGCCGGACGTCCGGTATGACCAAGTTGGTCACTTCATCGCAATGGGCGACAAGCAGCGTCGGTGTAAGGGACAGGGGTGCTCAAGTAAGCCACGTTCTTACTGCGAGAAGTGCTGCGCTGTGCTGTGCATTCCCTGTTTCAAACCCTACCATACCAAGTAGTTCGAAGGTGCCTCTAGAAGCAGGGATAGCAAAGTTCTTTCTGCAGATCGTGTCTTGTCTGTCATCGCCACCGCAACAGGTAACTCACCGGCGGGGTCGCCCGGCCGGCCGCCCGCCGTGCAGTCGGGCCGGCGCTGGCGGCCGTCCCGCCGCCGCCCCTATCCGCCCGGCGTCCTCATATGAGGACGGTGTAAAAAACGTCTATATCGTTATTGCAAACTGATGAAACTTACTTGGGTGCATCGTTCATGTGTTTCGTCCATTATTTGTGCAATAAATCATTTTTTGCGCAACTATTTGTACTAGCGAGCGTTAATGGGTTAACTTTGTCCTGCTACGTTTAATGGCAAGCTTATATTGATGGCCCCTGCTTCTGCCCTCCAAATTGAAATCAAACATATCCTTAAGGTATCCTGTGGCTTGGCCATTTACGAATTTAAACACCTCGATCAAGTCTCCCCTAAGCCTTCTGTATTTGAAAGAAAAAAGCTTAAGCGATTTTAATCTATCCTCATAATGCAGATCTTTCATACCATTTACCATCTTTGTCGCCCTTTTTTGCACTCTTTCCAAAAGCAAGCTATCTTTTTCATGCATTGGAGACCATGACTGAACGCAATATTCCAAATGAGGCCTAACGTATGCACAATAAAGCGTAAGCAAAACCTCTGCACTTTTGTACGAAACATTCCTGTTTATTGCTCCAAGCATCCGAAGGGCCTTTTTTCTGGCTGCTTGTACTTGTTCAGTTGAAGAAAGCTTCTTATTAATAATCACGCCCAAGTCCTTTTCACTGTCTATATTACATAATGTTTGTCCCCCCATTGTGTATGAAGTGTCATAATGTTCTCTACCAATATGCATGACCTTGCACTTTTTAAAATTAAACTTCATTTGCCACTGCTCTGACCATTTTACGAGCCTATCAAGATCTGATTGGAGCTCATTATGATCCTTATCGTCCCCTATAACCCTAAATATTTTAAGATCGTCAGCAAATTTCAGCACATCACTATTCACGACAGTTTCGATAGAGTTAACAAAAATTAAGAAAAGCAATGGTCCCAGGACGGATCCCTGTGGAACCCCACTTAGCACATTTCTCCATTTTGATTTAGTGCCATTTAGCACTACCCGCTGTTGTCGATCAGATAACCAATTCTCAATCCAGCTTAAGATTTGACCATCTATTCCATGACATTTGAGTTGTAAGCAGAGCCTTTTATGGGGCACCGTATCGAAGGCTTTACTGAAATCAAGGAAAGAGACATCTAGCTGCTTACCCTGATCAAAAGTCTCTGTCGCCTCATCGAGAAATTTCAAAAGGTTAGTGAGGCATGAGCGCCCTTTCATAAATCCGTGTTGAGATTCTTTTATAATATCATTCTCCTTCAGAAAACAAACTATGTTATCCTTAATAATCGATTCAAGTAGTTTACATACCAAGGAGGTAAGACTGACAGGTCGGTAGTTTTCAGCACAACTTTTATCGCCTTTCTTAAATATTGGGACTATATTTGCTTTTTTCCAATCAGTAGGAATGTCTGCATCGTTAAGGGATCTCGTAAATATTATAGATAATGGAATTGATAACTCTTGTTTACATTCCTTTAATACCTTTGCATATATTTCATCAGGCCCTTCAGATTTATTTGACTTTAGTCTCTCAATATACTGTTGAACCAAGCCACAACCTATCTCGCCTAAGTTTCCAACCATTGCATCAGTAACCATCTGTGGTAGAAGTGACTCAATACCATCCGTGTCCTCAACGGTAAACACCGATTGAAACTGAGTACTTAGTAATTCTGTCATTTCGCTATCACTAGATACTACATTGTTGTTCGACTTCAGGGGTCCAACGCCTCGTGTGATATTATTTAATTTATAAAAGCTAAAGAATTGTTTGCTGTTTCCTTGACAGTTTCTTGCCAGATCTAACTCCTTTGCTCGTTTAGATGCTCTGACCTTCTTTTTGAGCAAATTTCTACACTTCTTGTAATTTATCCTATCTGATTCAAGAAAGGCACCCTTCTTCATGGCCCTAAAAGCAGCCTTCTTACATCTTATGGCATTTCTGACCTCAGGAGTAAGCCATGGAGGGTTCAATTTCCTTCTAGATCGTTTAGTTTTCGTTGGTATACATCTCGACTGAATGTCGAACAATACCGCTTTAAAGGCATTCCATGCTTGAGAAGCACTTAAATCTAAAAGCCTCTGATGCCAATTAACCTTCGATAGCTCATTTCGCATCATTCTAAAGTTCGCCCTATTAAAGTTTGGAACATTGGCTAGGTTATCCTTGGGTTTGACCTTTGACGGAATAAGAAAGTTAACCATATTATGGTCACTCTTGCCCAACCCTTCACCAACCTTAAGTTCTTTTACCATCTCCATGTTGTCAGAAAATACCAAATCCAAAATAGAACCCCTTCTAGTTGGCTCGCTAACAAATTGATTCATGAAGAGTTCCTCCTCTAAGAGATTTCTATACATTTTGCATGCCTTTGTGTCCCCTGTCCTTTCTTCGTATTCTTTAAGGTTAAAATCTCCCATTATAAGACAATTTGTTTTGAAGTTTCGACGAATTTCCTCACATATCATGCCATCTACCTCCAGCTGTGGGATTTCCATAATATTACCGGGCCTATAGAAAACCCCAAGTCTTACATCGTCATTGATATCTTTCCCCAGTCTCACATCAATCCATATTGACTCTACCTGCTTTGCCTTCAATGCATCATCCACTTTAAGAGCACTATACAGACTATTAACGTAAATAAGGATCCCTCCCCCCTGTTTGGCTTCCCTACAGCAAGAAAACATATTGTACCCCTGCACTTCAAAATCCGTGAGTCTGTCGCCATTAAAGCTTTCACTTACCCAAGTTTCTGTAACGCAAACAATATCTGGCGTGTTTACAGCTAGGTAACATTTAAATTCGTCAAATTTCGAGCGTATGCTCTGTGCGTTGAGCATAACACATTTGACATTGTGTCTAGCTTTAAGATTACATTGAGTACCAGCACTATCACAGAACTTCGAGTCCCTAGGGAGATGCTGAGTCATACTATCTCCTCGATTACTTACCAACTGACACTCATGACCCCCCAACACGGCTAGTTTCCCGAAAGTACATTGGTGTACGCCTCAGCCAAAACTGAGGCTCCCCTGTCTGAGAAATGTAAACCATCTCCCAGGTAGTAGGTCCCTTGTCCATAAAACTCCTCCCACAAGTCGACAAATTTGAAGCCCATGTTTGAGCAGAGCTTCTCAACTGAGACATTTGCAGCTAAGGCACGTGAGTACCATTCTCTAGAGGCAGACATACGGGGAAGAATACCAGTTACGACCACCGGTTTTCTCGCCTCCCTTAAGCTTCGCAGCAAAGCACGGTAATCCTGGATAAGTTTGACACTGCGCCTCGGATCTATATGCAGTAAACTGCCATGAGATGGGGTTAGACGAGATGTTTCAAGTACAAACATGAACAAAATCCGTCGACCTTGCAAACCGGTTGACTGGTTGGTGACATCCTCGAGGCCGTGTCATACCATTCTCTCAATGCGGGATTATCATGTAAAAGTGATGTGTGCCATGCTGATTGCTGAGGGATGCCTCGCGATGCAGAGTTGTCGCGACGTATCGTGCCTCGCAGTCCATGATACCTACACCTTTCATAGAACATATTAAAGGGACTATCCCACCTTCGAAAATGTTGTTAAAACCAGTTAAATTGTGCCCGAATTTATAGATTGGATGACCAGGAACACGGTTCTGGCATTTATTTTTCATTAAACATCTTAGGCTTCCCATATTCCAAACACAAACTTTCAAATATGTGACGTCACAGCCCAAAATTACCTCCTTCCCCAGGCCACATTACTGTCATAAAGCTGATTCTTTTTACTCTGTAGGCACCACAACAAAGTTCAGACCAAGTTTTAAGCGATTTTTCAACGAACAAACCCATTTAAATCAGAATGACTAAACGAGGTGACGTCACACTAACGGTCGCTCCATGTTGAAGATAGGGCCTTGTACAAGGCCCATTTTCAAATGAAGGGAACGAATTTCTTCAACACCAAGAGGCCGCGGGGGTTGCAACCTAGATAGATAGTGGTTTCTGAACCTCGCCGCAAACTTGGCTATCTCAACTCAAACCCCATGTTAAAGGTGGGATAGTCCCTTTAATGGTCTAGACTCTTATCTTTATCTTTAAAGATATATTTAATATCTTTCTTTGAGAGGTATCTTTGAGCCAAGCAGTGACACGAAGCAGCGGTATACAGAAGTTCATGAGCCGGCTCTCCCATGTCCCTGGTTCTGTTCCGCTCGGATTCAAACTACATGTATGTTTGTACAGCGCGGGGCATGCGGATCATTGCATTGTCTGAGTGCGCACCACCACTGCCCTCATCGACGCCGCGCCGGTCGATACTCCAACAGGTCCGGCTCTATCCCGTCCCCGAGATTTATCACCAGACCCAGAAACTGATCCGCCGCCGCAGCTATCGGCCCACCATCGCCAATAAGCAGCCGCTACTGTCGAAGGCCAATAATTGCGTCGGTTTGGGCACAGTTTATGGCGGGCCACCTCGGCGGCGGTGGCTGCAGCGGCGGCCGGCGCGGTGCGCCGAGCCGGCCGGTCCGACGCCGATTTACCGCCGTACCGGGCTATTAGCCGGTCCGTGGACGGCGAGTCGCTACCGGGCCCCGGGAGCCGGCTTTGATGTGGCCGCAGCCGAGTGGCGGAATGGTGGCCGCCGGGGACAGCGCGGCCGCTCGGACCCCCGGAGAGGTGACCTGCGCCGTGACCGCCGCCCGGGCAGACACGGAGCCGGTCGGAACGCGGCCGGACCGCCTGCTGAAGGACGGCTCGGTGAGGCAGGGCAGGACGGCAGCGCAGGGAAGCAGCATCCTGTCACAGCCGTTTGCAGGGCTCTGGCAAATGAGCGACAAGTGAGCTGACGGCAGACGAGATTTAATGCAGCTTCTGAGACTCATTGCACAACGCAGCTTCGTCCAGCGAGACTAATAACCGTGTCCAACGCCCGGAATAAATGTGGAGCAATAGAGAAAGCCGGCGACACTCGGGCTGGCGAATGGGTTCGGATCGCGAGCCAAGCCTCGGGGCACCGGCCTGAATGGATAGACGTGGCGGGGACGGCGCTGGCGCAGCGACACTGACGAGCTCAGTCCATCAACCGAGCCCGAGTCTTTCAACTCCGCTAATGCAACTTTGACATCTGAATACAGAGGAAACGAACGAGCCGACATTCCTGCCGATTGTCGGAGCTGAAAACTGACCGGTCCGCCGCCGGGCTCTCCAAACACGAACACAGCGGCCCGTATCGACCCATTAGTGATCCTCGGCCACTAACAGCATCTTCCGACCCCGCACCGGACTCAGAGCAGCTCAGAGTTCTTTAAATGCACGCCGAGTCCATTTAAATGCCGTCTCGGCCGACCTCCGTGACCGTCACAGCTGCTGGCGCCGCCGGAAGCAGCCCCTTCCACCGGCGGAAATCAATGCACGTGCACGCGCGGCGGCGGCGGCGCACGTCACCGGAAGGCGTCATCGGAGCGTCAGCGGCCGTCACCGCGCGCCGGAAGGAAGCGCCACTGACGATGGACGCTGATGGCGGGGCGGGGTGGCATGTCACCCGACGGGGCACTGGAGCGGTGGCCGGCGGTCACCACAGTCCGTCACGGGCTGGACAGGGAGGGGACGGCGGCACACGCCAGGACAGGGTGGGGAACTGCGGCACACACCGGGACAAGGTGGGAAACTGCGGCACACGACGGGTCGAGATAAGAGACTGTGGCACACGCCAATAGAGAGGGCTCTGGGACACGTGACGTGTCAGCAAAAGTAAATCACGCTTCGAAGCATAGGCGTAGGAGCAGGGGGCCGGGGGGCCATGGCCCCTCACTCTTTAGCCGTTTTTAAAGTAAAATTTAAATCTTAAATTTTACTCTTATTTAAATTCATTTAAATAAGGGGATTTAAATTTAAAATTTAAATCCGTTAAAGAAAAATCTTTATTTTTTTATATAAATACAAAACTAAAAGCAGGAAATGGTTCAGCAAGGTGAGATGAGCGCAAAACTGCAACAAATTTTTCATAGGGGTATTGGGGCTCCCACAAAGTGACATTGAAGTTTCGCTAACCCAACCCCCTCCCCCCGCCCCCCACTTTTCGTAAGGTCCCTACGCCCATGCTTCGAAAAATAGGTAATACAGTTAGGATACAGCTGGTGATAGCAGGTGTGGGTTTCCAAATTTACATATATAAAAATCAAAATGTCTGTACCTCTTTAGTGCCCTGGTCTGTACGTATGTAACGCGTCCGTCACGCTTGGCGGGCTATTGCTCCGGAACGGTGCGGGCTACGGGGGTGGAATTTTGGGCGCAGGTCGGACGCGTGCATCTGTTTGTTGTATTAAATTTTGGTGGGGGTGCGCTCGGCGGTTTGCACGTGGCGGACGCATCTTTGCGGGATTTTGGGCCGCGGCCGGCATAGGCGGCGGAACGATTTGAGACAAGGGGGGGCACCATGGCTCAAGGAGCCAAACCTAGGGTACCCCCAAATCCTGTTTTCTCATCGGATTTAGGCCACTTATTTTTCGTCACAGCCCTGACACGATGATTTTTTTATTTATTTTTTTTTTTGCTAAACGAAAATGGCAGTTCACCCCCGTATGCAGGGGTGTAATTTTATATCTCTTTGTGGGGGCATATGCACCCACAATCCTGAATTATGCCCCCACAATGATGAAAATGCACCCACAAGTCTTTTACAAGGCTGCAAGCGTCCTTTCGAGAGCACGGTGCCATTCGCATGCTCTAACCGTCTTCCTCCTGACCGTCTCGCGTTCATGGATAATATAGCGTTTTTAATCACTCGGCGCCCTTCTGGGAGCCGGGAGAATGGCGCACTTTTGACAGCACCGCGCCATTCTCATGGTCTAACGGCGCCTTCCTGACCGTCTCGCGTCCTTAAGTCTCTGTTCACCGTGCATCCCTCGACTGTTCGGCGCCCTTCTGGCCTCTCAGCGCCCCTGAACCACATATAGCGTTTTCAATCACTCGGCACCCTTTTACGAGAATGGCGCCCTTTTCATGATCTCAAGGCGCCCTCGTAACCATCTGGCGCCCCCACGTCCCCACCAACGTAGCACTACTGACTGTGCGGCGCCTTTCTGGCCACTTAGCGCCCCTGGACCACATAGCGTTTTCAATCACTCGGCGCTCTCCTAAGAGAATGGCGCCCTTTTCATCGTCTCACGGCGCCCTCGTAAGTCGTAACCGTCTGGCACCTCCACATTTGGTGCCCCTCCTACTGGATGGCGCCTCTCTACATCTTTTTTACGTCCTTCCGGTCAGTTTCCACTTTTAAGCGTGTATTTGCTTAGACACGTCACTTGAAACGCCATTCGGCTAGCAATGTTATCAAGTTCGGTGTTAATTTAGGCTCCCACATAAAGAATATCTATCGCGCCCCAAAACGGCCTGGCGCCGGGCGCCCCTACAGTTCACTCAAAACTTTTTTACTACCTCCTGGAGGGTTCATTTTCATCAAACCAGCAAGATAAGAGTATATTGAAAGGGTAACTCTTTGCTACCATTATGTGCATAGTAACGGTACGTGGTTAATATGAACTTATTCGCCAGCGAAGAGTATTATTACCATGTAAATATCAATAATACTCTCGCGATCCAGAACATCACGAAAACTCTTTCCTTCTGGGTATCGTGACTCGTGTACAGATAGTCGTTTCATGCGTGGATCTTGTTTACCCTCGTGAAGATGATATTTGAAATGGAATCACTCAGCCAATCAGAAACGAGATCGGCCGTTTGCGGTTTGAAGGCCGCGCGCATCTGTCAGTTTTCGGCCGTTGGTCTCCGAGAGCGGATGTGAGCAGTGTCGGTGCCGCGCGGCGTGGCAGTTGGTGATTGTGCTTGCGTGTTGTTCATCGCCTATAGAGCCTCTGCATGGACATTTTATTGTAAGTACCGATGTGCTAGAGCATTGCATGCCGTTGAGTGGTGCTAATTTGACCTGGTTAACAGGACCCCGTGCACGGCCACGTGGCCTAGGTTGTGAGTACGTACATTAATTTTGTTGTGATGCTACAAGCTTATGCATTTTGTTGGTGACTTCGAAAAAGCCTTGCACTGTAGTGATCCAGTCTCATTATCTCACGCAGACGGGCGACCACCCAGGAACGCCGTCGCTCTCTTCAAATATTGTGCGCTGTGCCTTATCCAATATGAGGGCGCTGAATGTCTTGTATTCACATTCAAAGTGCATTCAAGTTGTATCGTGGTGTTTATTTACCGCTTGTGCATTGCTGAACGCTTCGTATAAATTCGTATGCATAAGTGAAGAGTCTCACAATGTTCATGGCTGGTGTGCCCCTCGTATTGTTTGTACGGAAGCCAAATATACATTGTTGCTCTTGAAGCATGTTTTTTTTAGTTGGTGAGCTCCGGTTAACAGAAGCTTCGTGAAGCTTCTGAAGCAAGCGTCTGTGAGTCTGTTACCATCCTCTGGGGGGGTTTACACTAAAGGAAAGAGTAAACATTACCATGTGACAAAGGGTAGGCCAGAAGATAATACTCTCTGTAGGAGGGTAAAGCACAGAGTAGATGATGCGTTACTCCCTAGAAAAGGGTCCCGTTTAAGATTTACCCTTTCAAAGAGTGTAACCCAAAAAATGTTACACTCTAGACAAGAGTAAATCAAAAGAGTTTACCATTCAGAAGATGGTAAAAAAGTCTGTGTGTCATGTTACCCCTCCCTGGCGAGTTTACTCTTCATGAAAGAGTAAAATTTACCATCTGGAAGGTGGTAAAAAACGTCTGTGTGTCAAGCTACCATGCTATGGCGGGTTTACCCTTCAGGAAATGGTAAAAAAGTTTTCAGTGTTGGGCACCCACAATCATTTTAGGAAAATTACACCCCTGCCCGTATGTGTGGTTAACTTTAAGCTGATCCTCAAGTACCTATGTGTTTGTCTCTTCCTTATTGTCGTTTGATAAATTCCATTTATCCTACATGTATAATTCCCAAGAAGCCATCGCAGTACTAATCAGTGGCGAATCCCAGGGTGGAGGTCATATGGGTCATGACTTAGGGCCTGGGGTCACCACATGCCTGCCAGGAGCACCACAGGCCTGACAGCCGACAGGGGCACCACAGGCCCGCCAGGGATGCCACAGGCCTAGCAGGGGCACCACGGGCCTGTCAGTGGCACCACAGGTCTGTCAGGAGCACCATCGGCCTAGCAAAAGCACTACAGGTCTTCCAGGGGCACCACAGACCTGCCAGGGGCATCAGAGGCCTGCCAGGGGCACTATCGGATTCGCAGGGGAACCACCGGCCTCGCAAGGGCACCATGGGCCTGTCAAGGGCACCACAAGCCTGTCGTTGGCAATTTAGGATTGTCAGAGGCACCACAAATCTGTCAAGGGCACCTGCGTTCTAACAGGGGCATCACAAACCTGCCAAGGCCCAGGGACACCACAGGCCCAGCAAGGACACCACAGGCCTGTCAGGGGCACTACGGACCTGTCAGGGCCCATGGGCACCTAAGTCATGTCAGGGCCCACCGTAGGCTTGTCAGGGGGCAGGGTAAGGTAGGTACCAGTCTTTCCAGGGGCACCTGCGGCCTAGCAGGGGCACCAGTCATAACATGACTAACCAAAAATAAAGAAAATAAAATAAAAACTGAAAATAGGGCACCACCAAAATTAAGTGGCCGAAATCCGTTGAGGTTTTAATTTTGGGCATAGGTAGGGGCACCACTTCGATTCATGACCCTCCCCTTGGAGTTTTCCCGAATCCGCCTCTGGTACTAATACATCAAATTTAAGGGGGGGCACCTTGCTATTGGTGCCCCCCTTGCAGAATTCAAGGGGGGCACGGTGCCCCGGTGCCCCCCCCGTTCCGCCGCCTATGGCGGCCGGCGACGAGCAGACGGCACGCGCCTTAGGCTCAGTTTCTTCGCTTGCAAAACTGGGCGAAATCAGAGCCGGAAGGTCACTGACCTTTGGCAATGAATACCGGAACAGGGCACCGCCGGCCAAGAGGAGTCACCAAATTTATTCTGGCAATAACTCGGCCGCTACTTGGCCGATTTTAATGAAAATTGATTTATTACGCTGCGCGTAATGCTGGACACCTAGTTTACATATATAAAAATCAAAACGTCTGTACGTATGTATGTATGTATGTAACGCGTCAGTCACGCTTGGCGGGCTATTGCTCCGGAACGGTGCGGGCTACGGGGGTGGAATTTTGGGCGCAGGTCGGACGCGTGCATCTGTTTGTTGTATTAAATTTTGGAAGAGGTGCGCTCGGTGGTTTGCACGTGGCGGGCGCATCTTTGCGGGATTTTGGGCCGCGGCCGTCGCCGATCAGAGAGCACGCGCCTTAGGCTCAGATTGTTCGCTGCGAAAATGAGGGAAAACAGAGTCGGAGGTCGTTGACCTTTGGCAATGAATACCGGAACAGAGCACCGCCGGCTTAGAGGAGACGCAACATTTATTCTGGCAATAACTCGGCCGCTACTGGGCCGATTTTATTGAAACTTGATTTATTACTTATGAACAATTGA